GACGCCCAATTCAGTACGGTAAACTGCGTTCTTCACAATTCCGCCCGCTACCCTTATATCCTAGGACATTGCAGCACAAGAAAATTCGCAGCATCAAGCGGTCTGCCTGATTAAACAGTCATGGAAGTGAGTTCAGGTGGGAGCAACCAGAAAGCGCTACCAGAAATATTGCCACGGACCGCCATGGTTCGGCGAGGCAGGGTGAGAACCTAATATCGGTCATGCCTAGGGTAGTCAGTGCGGTACATCCGCTGGGGCTTGCAAGCCACGCTACCCCACTGCCGTACACTGACATTCACTTACATGTGCACCACGTTCGCAGGGACACGCGATAAGAAGTAGACCTGTGCGGGGTGTGCAACCCAAAACGGCACAACAGTCAAGATTCAAGATATAGTGCAATACCTACAGCTCATCACACACAAGCTAAAATGACTCACGAAATGCTGCACAGAATCAGAAGACAGGACACGCATATTTTCACTGGTGCCCAACTCCGACAAGCGATATGCAAGGATGGGCAGGCAGCAGGCGGGTTCGTACGTACGGGCCGCACTACGCGAAGAACATGCAGGGGTACCTCAGCATCAATTGTGAACGGTCTAGCACAGCTTAACTCCAAATAATGGGAGGACTTCCTAGTGGCGCAGGTATCTGTGCGTGCCTGTGTTACACTTCTGGAGTTGCGCTACCCTCCGAGGGTGTAACAGGCCCATACGAGCCGGACACCCAATGGTCAGTCTAGGTCTGTCCGATATCGACAGATGTCGTAAAAGCGCGTAAGGAGAACTATTATCATATCACTTATCAAAGAGAATTTAAGTGTATGCTTCCTCGTGTTTTAATTGCGTAGACGAACCTGACCTCCACCCGCAACCTGGTAGGTTTCCTGAGATAAGTCTGTTGCAAACCTTCAAAACCCTACCCAAGGTGCCCTGCCAAGTACCCCACCTTGAGCGCCACTGGCAGCCCCGAGCGCCGGCACGTCGCCTGTGCAGGGAGATGGAAACGGAGTGCGTGTTGGACTAGTTGCAGTGAAGGGAAGGCGGGCAGGAAACGCTGAAAGGGAAACCCCGAAGAGCCGTGTCCACGACAAGATTGCCGCAGAGGGGGCAAGCCGGTTGCAAACGCTTCTGCCATTGCGGCAGCCCTCGGTCCCTAAAACGTTCATGACGCGTAAAACTCTGGCAATCTTCATAGATTCATATATGCCTCACTCTGTACACGGCGGAGGAGCTCCCCTTGAAGATCCTCCTGGCGATGGAATAGTCCTCCAGCGCCCATACTGAGCGGCGCATAGCGCTCGGAAGTGCGGGCGATACTGCAAGTAGCTTTCTGTTAGCCGTTGGGGCGACCTCTGCCGTCGCCTGAGGTGCACAATTTTGAGCTTGATAGGAACTATCAACATGCGGAGCAGGATCTCGGAAAGGAGGGGACGGCAGCTGGGTCTCAACCATGCTGGTGGCCTTGGTCGTTGCGTTGGAGACTGCGCTACCGGAACTGCTACTTTGCCCAGTTGAAAGAGCATAATGTGGCGTGCTTACTCCTGTCGGAGATGCAGCTCCGGAGTCATCCTTGGCCCCCGTTTGTTGAGTGCACGCGCCAAGCGAAGCGGTGTCTTGGCGGGCAAGTCCGCGCTCCGGGCTGCTTCCCGGTAAAAACATGCACTGGGGAGGACTGCACTGTGTGTGAGTAGACCGTTCCGTGCACAGCAATGTGGACTGTGTTGGCGGCGAGATGGAAGGCGGTGCGCGGGCATCTGGAGCGGCCGTAGCCAACGATGACAGGTTATTGGCGCTCCGGCTGGTGCTTATAGAGCCAAGCTTGGACTTTAGAGATTTCCATAACGCAGGAAGCCGATGACTGTATGCTTTAGGACTTCCGTGGGGGCTGGCAACAGGGACACAGTTGCCATAGCTGCCTTCGGCACCTACTTCAGCAAGGGTAGTCGAGTGAAGCCTACGAATACTCATGACTGGTCTGTTGTGTCAGCGGCGTGTATTTATCGTTTCTTAACAACCTGCAGCCACAATGACCTCTGGAACCCAGAAAAAGCCAGGAATTCGGACACCTTACTAGTTAATGCAAATAAATCTAAATAATATTACGTCTCCTGATGAGCCATTGCAGGAATTAAAGTACGTCTTCCATAATCACGTGGATCGTATCAGGTGAAACTTTTTTGGCATCTTCCTTGCACAGATTAAGTAAGCGGTTTATTATATAATGGATTCAATTTGTTACTTGTTTTTGTATTTAATGTACTGTTTCTCCGTTGTTTCTCCTTTGCTTGTGTTCCGGCACACCCTCGCCTGATTAGGGTAATAATATATTACGTTACACATCATGCGCAAATACTTTGGGAGCTTACAACATGAGCCTGGTAAGTCAAGTTAATTAATACCACTTTGCATAGAGGTTTCAAGAGGGCGGGCGCCACTTCTGACCATGTTCCTGAAGGCGTGCCGAACTGGCTTTCCGTGATGGAAAGCCTCGTTTGCGGTTTGGAAAACCAATCTTCTGGCATATTTTTGGTGGATGGACCTTTTTACAGTACGAGAGCTCCGATTGATTTACTGCCATCCTTTTAGCCTACCTGGCAGTTTTGATGCTAGAAGCCGCATACCTTTTGCGGTCGAATACCAAAGCCACTCATACAAATGGAAACATAGTTTTATAGAAGATGCGTAGATTGCCGTTGCAATCACCCACCTAGGCCTAGGCAGAAGCTAGCTTGGAACAGTCGAATGCTTTAGAGTCTTAGACAGGCTAACGCAACAGAGCTTCGTACTAGTAGTCATCTCGCCTGAAAATCTCAGCGCCTGGCCCCGTTTCAGCCCTCAAGCTTCGGAAAGTCAACACTTTTGTAATCGTAAGTGCGCGGTACCACGGTTACTGGTAGTCGTCCGGTACGGGCGAAACAAAGGGCTCCTGGCCTGCGTCTTTTCGAGGCCCAGCTTTCCTTGGCACCTCATCAACAGTCAGCGCAAAATACTTTCATCCGTTCCATAACGATATAATCTCCCAAACATGCAATCTGGCTAGCGACACGTCATATGCATCCCGCATATCTCGCCACGCTAAGATTAAGGCGGGGTTTGATGTAAGCTTAGGGTTGCTTATCCCCATTATACCTCATGACGCTATCTCACCTCAGAGGCTGCGCAAACCTTTAGCAGTGTAAACCTCGTTACCACGCACGGGCACTACGCCGAAGCGGTTATCATCTTCAGCGAGGATCTGCTCTTAGGTTGGAAGCCGAGACGCAGGCTGGAAGCCGAGACGTACACATGCGCAGCATCTAGCGTGTGCAGCATCAGGTGGATTGGATCTATGCGAACAACAATCGACAACGAAGCCAAGTAACACATCTACGGACGCCTCGCCTGTTCGCCTGTCCATGGACCCCTGAATTTTCTTCAGTTAGACGTCTACCTCGCTTGTTTTTCGCTGTCCTCGTCGTTTTAAGCTGTGTGTGCCTGCCGTAGTGCTTTGGCTTGCCTTGCCTCGCTCATAAGGGCGAACTGGGCGAGTACTTCCGGAACGTGCCATCATGTCGCGTCATCTCTTCTGTTGAGTGGATACCCTGCCGGGTGGGCGGGCTTGCGACTGCGGATTGTTTTTAGTTGCATAACCTGCCTTCCAAGAAAACCCACATCCGCATATGCGGTCCGACGCAAACGGTATTCCCGCCCGTGCAACCGATGGATGATGTCCTAAGACGCTTCGGGTTCAGTTTTGACCACACCGCCACCAGGAGACGTCCAAGTCCTGAATGTCGTACATACAGACCATCACCAGCCCTGGTACGCAGCAGCTACTCCCACTGATGTCACGTCCGATCCATCTTACGCCACAAACAAATGTGGTGCTCTACAGACACAGCAGCAAATAGTCAATAGAAGCATGTCAAGCCCTAAACCCCACCTATGCAGCTACGTGCACTCTTCATCCAGCCCCGGTTAAAGTACTGACTGGTTGACGTTACTGTCTTATACCGTTTAAGGGCTTTGGTCCGATTCCTGGGGGGAACCCCGACATTGTCGGGAGCGTAAGATTTTGGCTAGCTGCTGAGATGTGGAGTTGAGATCACAGTTGATGGATCGAGAGTCGCACGCTGGATTGGTGGCGATTGATAAACTGTCTCTACGGATGTTCGGGTGAATGGATGAGGAGGGATCTTAGAAGGCAGGATCAACCGCCTTGGACTTCCAGTTCTTATGGCGTAGTACAGTGTGGTAATGGTGGATGGTGCTGTATGGTCTGACAAATCGTAGAATTTACAATATGCTCAAGTGGCCCAGAAGCCTCCCACTCTGTGGCAACTCAAATTCAGATTCAAATTCAAATTCAAATTCAGATTACTGACAAAATTGACTGTCCTCTTTTATGCAGGGCGGGCCAATACTTCGTCTCTCGATGTGGGTGCATTGAAGAATAGCAGCAATGTACCCGTCAAAACTTTCGCGACAAAAATATTAAGCGCCTGTCAAAGCAGCCCGAATACACGTACAGACAGTTATTGAGGGTGCTGTGTGAAACAAATACCTCAGCCGCGCAGCCATGCGCCCTCGCCAGCCGTACTTTCCATTGCTGTCCTTTGCCTTCTCTCTCTCCCTTTCTTCCTAAGTCCCCCTACTTCTTCCTCTGGCTCCATCTCTCCTTCCATCTCCCTCTTTTTCATTCTACCTACTGTCTGTTTGCATGCTCACCTACCTGTACCTCTACCTGCTTACCTGCCACGCCGATCTGCAAGCCAAAGCTCAATCCAAACCGCCTGCCTGTCCTCTCTTTTACCTACTCCCATAAAAAAACGCAGTATGTCGGTGAATATGCGAATGGAAGACCATACGCGTGAAATAAACAAAGATGTGAACGGCAAATCGAATATATTCCCGACCGGGCCCGACCAGCTTTCCTGATGCAGCAAACGCCCTTTTACAGCGTACAGGGAACACAACATACATTTTATGTGCTTTGCATGACGGTGGAAGCCTTCCCTAGTCTGCCTCCACATCATCCGCCTTGGGCTGCAGCCATGGGTGTCTCAGGAGCTGCGCCGCGGTGGGTCGCTCCAGGGGATCTGGCGCCAGCGCCGCAATCACGAAGTCACGTGCGGCGGGCGGCACTGAGGCGGGGAAGTGCAGCGAGGCAGGGGTCATCTGGCTGCGGACGAAGCCACTGACGGAATCGCCGTCCGGAACGCTGCGTTTGTCAGCTGAGGAAGCGGCCGCGGTGCTTGGGGAGGACTTCACTACCGGCGGAAAGCCCACCATAAGCTCGTACGCCAGAACGCCGCCGGCCCAAATATCCTGTGCGGGGCGGGGGCAGTGTGGTGGTGTGTGCATCATCAGCTACTAAGAACTGAAGTCACAAAGAGACAGACATGCTTGCCAGGATTCAGCCTTGTCCTCAGACATCAGCATTGCACTGTGCTAGCCCGGACAGGATGCGCCGTGTGGGTTTCCAGAGTTCCTTCGTCGAATCTTCGGAGTCCGGGCGCCGCGCTGTGATGCTGCAAGGGACACAGCTGCGACATCTCCAGCACCCAGCCTAGCTAAGAGGGTTATTTGAGCTGTCAACTACGACTTTGATGGCTGGGTTGCCCCTCGACCGACGGAATCGCACCATCCTAGCCGTTTCCAGCAACCCTTCCTTTTGCCACACTGCGAACTTTCCTCACTTCCCCCTCCCCATCACACGCACCACTGCTGTTGAGTAGGCGTATCTGGGGTCGTCCTTGTTCTCATGCGGCGCATGCTTGAGGGGGCATCGCTCCACCTCGGGCGCCATGTAGCCCTCAGTGCCGGCACGGGTGACGGCTCGCTCCTGGTTCAGGTCGATGCTGACGCCGAAATCCGCCAACAGCAGCCGCCAGTTCTGAGAAAGCAGAATGTTTTCGGGCTGCGGGTGCAGGGTGAAAGCCACGCGTAGCAGGTTAGGGGGATGAAGCCTTGGAGTGGTGCCAGAAGCAAAACAGGGCATGTGCGAGTCCTGCTGTCAATCAATTTAGTAGAGCCACGTTTACGTATTACTTGCCGTGCACGATGTCGCGTGTGCTATTCGCTATCGTAGTTGCAGGCATCCGCCCGCGTGAGTCTAAGTCCAAGCAGCTTGCCAAGATACTGGCAGCTTGCACGTGTAACTGCATTACGAGGTGTGTGCCTTCCTACCTTAATATCCCGGTGGCAGACTCCCCTGGAGTGAAGGTAGGACAGGGCCTCCAGGAAGGGCCGCATCACACCGTCAGCAACCTGTGTTGTGTGGCGAGATGCACAACTTCTGGTGGCTTGGAACTTTGTTGATGTGCATAGTATACCAACCCCGACAACCCTGGCACGGGTTACTACCAGGCTCAGCGACGATTGTTCATCTTTGATGTGACACCAGCAGCCGCCAGCAGCAGCATCTCCCCCGTGGGCATACCATAGGACCGGAGCGGATACACTGTGCGAGGTACCATTCCGGACTGTAATATTTGCCAGAAGAATGCTCAGTCCTGCATCGTCTATATGGCTGGTAGATTCTGCCATGTCTTGCAGTAGTGCAATCATTCGCCATGCCGCCCGACCTACCCGGCATCCGAGCCTACGGCACCCCGGCCTGCCCTGGCACCTCCTCCATCCTCCCCCTCACCTCCACGCACCTACCTGTTCGTGCGGCATGCGGCCGCCGATCTGCTGCAGAATTTCGTACAGGTCGCCCTGCGCCGCATATTCCTGGACGAGCACCACCCGGTCACTCTTGTCCTGCAGTGCAACAAGACGCGCGCATCACCGGTTCACCGCTGAAATTGAGTTGAAACCCGCCCATTTCACGGCATCGCGATCTCAACTAAGATAAGCATTTTCCTAATCCAGTTTGCAGTGGAACGAACCAATTCGGGAAATGCAATTTGTCCCCAAGGAAACTTCTGGTCAAAACGCTGCTGCCTTAAAGGAGGGATTTCCCAACGCACCAAGAACGCAGCGTATAGGCGGGCCACGTGCTTGTATACGAGGTGTAAGTGGATCTCGATCTCGCGCTTCAGCCTGCGATTTACAAATCGGTGGATGGAAAATGGCCAGCGGGCTCAGCGGCGCGTCAACCGACTCTACTGTTTTCTTCTACTATTGCAACTACTAGGGAACTACCCGGCTCCGGACCAGGAACCGGATTGCTGTCGGCGGGCTCAGGTTTCGGAGCAGCATGCACGCCTTCCCTTTTTATCCTCCCTTGCTATGTGCTGGACGCTAGCCTGTCACCTGCCCTGGCAGTTCACCATTGCCACGCTGCCCCGGAAATCGCGAGTGCGTCGGAGGACACCACCACATGTGTCGTACTCACATGTGTCGTACGTTGGATGGCATCCGTGTAAGAAAATAGACCTGCAAGGCCCATGAGGGACGGTCACGGAATAAGGAGGCCACAGACACGGCGGGGGCGACGCTGTGGTGCATTCTGATTTGTGAAGGCGTAAAGCGCAGAGGATGCCTGCGTGCTGAGATTGGCGTGTTTAAACTACGCTGAAGGAATTATTCTTAACGCAGCTGTAAGGGATTTTGCATTGGCCATACGGCATTGCGATCTACGCAGCATGGTATATCTTTTTGTACTCGTGAGGCTTGGGGTGGATTGGGTGCTAAAGACGGCGGGTCTGTGAGGTGGGCTGGGCGCACTTATGTAGCGCGCACCAACACCTGCACCGTTGGAAGGTTCCTTGCAGCCCGCACCCACTAGAGCACAGCATGC